CCACTGCCTCTGATACAGTGGTGGAAGGGGGAAAGGTAGTATATAACTGTGAGAGTTAACCGATAAGCTCAGGCTTATCAGTTAACGGTGTTCACAGGTACACATTAACATCCCTACTACCTGTAGGAGTGATCAGAGTTAACTGCACAATAAATGAAAGCCTATTTATTGAAGCTGTGCAATAGCTATACTGTAACTCTATTGGAAACAATGGTAATTATTCTGCTCCTATGTTATCTTTGGATAACACTGTAATTAGTATCAATAATAATCAATGCAGTAATGATTAAAATAATTACCATAAAAATTCTCCTAAGTAACATTCACCATTCTGGCTTCCAAACATATATAGATTTGTTTTTTTTTTTAAAGGTATAATTGTCCTAACAGGATTTGCTTTCTCACCCATTTTCAGGTGAACTGCACAACCATACTACAGTACTGTAAAAATACTTACAGCTCTTCAAGATACGGAAAGTTCTTAAATGCATCTTCTGGTAGCTTTGTGATGTTATTCATACTGATATCCCTGGGGAAAAAAAGAAAATGCAAATGGGTCAAATGATAAGCAATGTTACAATTTAAAACATAAAGCAATTTTAAACAGATCAGTTGCTGGGATAATAGAAAAAGCTTTTTTCAGTGTAATGTGGCATCTCTAAGAAGTTTGCATGCTAGACTTACACAATATAGTGATCTAAAGATACAGTCTTAAGAAAGCAGAGCATCCTGAAAGACTGATGTCTAAGGCTTTCTTCTGACCATCAGAAAGAGAAAATGACTTTGACATTACAAAACAGAATAGTCTGGGGGAAAACTTATTAGAAACCTATTTCCTGAGTCCTGATTTTACAGACTCCTTACACACACAATTTTGATGTATGTAACTAAAACTGCTCAAACCACCGCCTGTAAAAAATGTGACCACCCAGACTTTAAATATTCATCTGTAATGTATAGGGTATTTTTAAAAAAAAATACATTCACTGGGACTTGATAAAATAAAGACCTCCGGGCAAGTGTGGCTTTTGGAGCAGCTATCAACAATAGCAGAAACATGCCTCAGCTCTACCGCAGTTGTATTTTCTGCAAAACGTATAAAAGTCCTTGAGGTAATAGTTTTAAATATAATTCATTTTTGGCCCATGAGCACATGCAAGCAGGCAGCAAGTGCTTACATGACAGGTATGCAGACTGATTCTTTTCTTGTTTTTTCATTGGCAGTAAATGGCAAACTAAACTCCACCACCCTTAACTCATGATGAGTAGCACTTTCCTATCACTCCATAACTCAGGGAACAAAGACATACAACAAATTGGTTGAATACCTAGCATGAAATCACAGCCCAACCTGAGCAAAAATGAGATGACAGGACCAGAATCAAGAATTTGATTTGACAAGTATTTGTTTCAAAGCTGACAAATTTATTTTATTGTTTAACCTTTTAATTTTAGTTCTTGCTTTTGCTGCCCTTTAATTTTAACTTTATATATATATATATATAAAGGTTTGCTACCATAGCTGCAAAGCTCTTCCAATCTCTGTTGCATCATCAGTCCTCTATTTAGAGCAAAGACTCACTCTGGCATCAAGCTTGAGAAAATTTTTATTCCTTATGGACTGCACAGCAACACTTACCACCTAAACAACATGTGTTACATGCCTGATTTTTAGAAAACATTTGGAAGATATAGTCGGCCCAAAGCCATCAGATGTGCCTGCAACGAAGTACAGACTGAGGATCCCCTTATGTCAGCTATCCAGGTTGTACCTCCCCGATATAGAACTCTCAGGGTGTGTCTAAACTACACCCCTCTGCCGACAGAGAGATGTAGATTAGGCACTTCGCTATTGCAAATGAAGCGGGGATGTAAATATCCCGCGCTTCATTTGAATAGAAATGGCCGCTGCTTTTTGCCAACACGGCACTTTGCCGGCAAAAAGTGACAGTGTAGATGGGGATCTGTCAACGAGGAAAGCCTTTTCCAACTGATTCTATAAACCTCGTTGCACGAGGCATAAGGGATCGGTCGGAAAAGGCTTTCCTTGTTGACCGATCCCCGTCTAGACTGCCGCTGTTTTCCGGCAAAGTGCTGCGTCGGCAAAAAGCAGCAGCCATTTCTATTCAAATGAAGCGCGGGATATTTACATCCCCGCTTCATTTGCAATAGCGAAGTGCCTAATCTACATCTCTCTGTCAGCAGAGGGGTGTAGTTTAGGCACACCCTCACACCTGACCAGTCCCAAACCAGGAAATCTGATGAACCAGGGAAGGTCAATACCAGCCCTTCTGCTGCCACCAGCTGCAAGGCTCCACTCCAGTGGTAGCACAAGGGCCGGCATTGACCAAGCAGGGACTTAGGGGCAAGGGGTGCTCAGGAAGAGAGGCAGGGTGGCTGCCAAGCCCCATGGCTGGGGTCCAGAGCCCAGCCCCATGGGAGTGCACTGAGCCCTGTGGTTGCTGGCTGCACTCCTGGCCGCCAGCTGCAAAGCTCCACAGTCACCATGACTCTTCCCTCTGGAGCTACTTGCAGAGCTCCAGAAACTCAAGGGAGGAACACGGGAGTGGTTGCTGAGCGAGGGCCTGGCTTTTCCCCAGGAGTGCTCCAGCCTGGGATGCCGGAAATCCATACCACAGAGGTCAAAACAGTACATATGAGGACATTGTATATTTTTAATGGTCATTCCACACATGCCTGTCACATCAATTCTTGGGAATGGTATGTGTCTGGTACTAGTGTTTGCTACCCAAGGCAAGGCTGTTAAGAGGTGGGTAACTGTGTAGTGGATACAAATTGTGTCGACTACACAATTAGTCGGTAAGGGAAGGCACTCAGAAGGAGCTATCCCCACTGTGGCTCTACAGTTTAAATGTAGTAAGAGCCAGGTGCGCAGGCAGCCTGGTTCCTACTACATTTAAACTGCAGAGCCGCAGCCTGCTCAGTCCCAGCTCACATCGGGTCCAGCACCACCCATGGACAGGGGCTGCTCTCCAACAGGAGCTGCTTTGCTGCAGAGGCTCCTGTCTGTTGGGCAGTCACAACTCCCCGCTGGGACCCCCCTATGGAAAGGGGCTACTGCTGGAGCAGTCTCCCCTAGCCTCCCTGCACTGCTGCCTCTGATAGAAGCAGCAGCGTGGGGGGGGGGGGGTGCACGTGTGGGGAAGTGACACCGCAGAGACGGTACTGGGGGGGAAACCAGTTTTTAAGCCAGCTCTCCCCAGCACCGGTTTCTGCTTCTCCCCTCTTCTTCCCCCTCACCGCTGCCTCTAATATAGAGGCAGAGGGGAAAAGGGGGGATGCAAGTGGTCAACCTGACTACCCGATAAGCCTAGGCATATCAGGTAGTTGACAAATTGACTACTCATTTACATACCTAATGGGTTACCCAGGGAGGTGGTGGAATCTCCATCCCTAGAGGTTAAGTCTCGGCTTCACAAAGCCCTGGCTGGCTTGATTTAGTTGGGATTGGTCCTGCCTTGAGCAGGGGGCTGGACTTGATGACCCCCTGAGGTCTCTTCCAGCTCTATGATTCTATGATCTATTTCCATCCTAGATCTGTGTAGTTTCAGATCCTGTCTCTGGCCCATCCAGATAAGCATTTGTACAGCAGCACAATCCTAGGATGGAATAAAACCAGAGACACTGACTAAGTCAGACATTGAAGGGCTCCTCAGCCAAAGAAAGAACTACAGGCCATGACCATTGCGGAACTCTGCAAGCATGTGTTTATAGCCTGCACCATCATTACTTTTGAAAAACTCTCAACCAGCAAACCAGGGTCACTATTTCTGGACATAAAACAACTGAGCTGAGTTCACTCAGATACCATCCTAGAACATGGAGTGGCACAAATCCCTTATCAGCCATTTTGGGGGCAGCAAAAGAAAAGTATTCTGTTGAAGAATCAAAAGCAGTTTCCATGGCCAGGGCTTAATCTTTCACTGTTTTTTCAATAGGAGATTTGGCACTAACTTTAACAGGTACAAACTCCTAAGGAGCAATGGAAGCCTCTCTGAGGGCTGGCAGCCACAAAGGGCATTTTCTGAAGAAATAAGCCTCCAGGACACTTGCAAACATATCAAAATCCATATAGTGTACATTAAAATATACCCTCAATATACTAAGTAGCTTTGTCCTGAAAACACTACAAGTAATGTCCATGCTATTTCTTCAATCGACAGCATAACGTCTCATTGTAATTCAAAAAGAAAGTAACAGCTCTATACCAGGGGAGGGGAACCTGACGCGCGGGGGCCAGATGCCCCCCCCCCCGGCTTGTCTGAATCTGGCACCTAGGCCCAGGGCTCCCCCCAAGTCTTGAGAAGCCCATCCAGACATTCCAGCTCCCCACAGCCTCCTTGCAGGGCTGGAGCACACTAAATCCACTAGCGCAGGCTTTGGTGTGCAAGGGGAACACGGGGAATGTCTTTCTCCTTCTCAGTCGGGGGCCACATCAGTGAAGATCTGTTTTTTCTCCCCTGCTTCTCACTTGTGAGGGGGCCCCCAATTGATTTTTCTGTGGGTTAGCAGCCCATGACCCAAAAAAGGTTCCCCACCCCAATTTATACCAACATCCAAGTATGTTACCAGGGCAATATACCTGCTGAAATCACACACTACTTATTGAAAAACTATCCTATTTTTTGGCGCGCACACACACACACACACACACACACACACACACACACACACACACACACACACACACAAAGACCAAGTTGGCCCTTGATGGAATTTAGATCAGGTTTGTTTGCTCATCCAATGGACGAATAACCAGTCACTGATTTGCTGATCCCCTACTCAAATTCTACACTGGTGCACAAAACATTAGCAAAAGGGTAGCAAATAATGTTAATATACACTGAGCAATGTCACTTTTACTGACAATGGCCTCTTTCACCAAAATATTTGCCCAGTTTTGATTTCCCCCTTGCAAATCAGGAATTGCAACAGTGCAAACCAAAGGTAAAGGAGATCAGAATACGGTCCAAGAGGTGTAACACAAACTTGGTTGTGAAAGTGACTAAACCATGTACCTGTGCCACAGTTCAGACTTGCCCATTCAAATTCACTGACTCAAATGTCCCCTGTTTTTTTGCTCAACAAGTCGGGTGCTCCCTCCCCCCTACTGTTTTTTTTTTTTTGCTCAACCAATTTTTTCCCCCACCGTGTTTGGTATGTCTTTGTGAAAGTATCTGGCAATCCTACACAATTCTTGTTATTTCAAGAAGTCTCCTAAAAGAAAATCCATGCAACATAGCTCTTTAAATTATTAAAAACTGTCTCATAATATGGGATGTCAATAATGTTTATATAGCGTATATTATCAAAATGCACTTCATATACATACAGGCAAACAGAAAAGCCTTTTAATTATGAACTTAACACAGCCACCTCTGGGATAAAATGTGAGAGTTACTTAAACTTGCATGGCAACCTTAAACAGTTTAGGATAGGAAGAGAATATTGCATTGCATTGAAATCAATAGTTTCAGCAAAGCAGCGGACAGAATGAAAATGATTACA